CTTTTCGAGTCATCAACCGAAAAACCGCTAGACCAACGTAGAGTGCCCTTTTAGAAATCTACAGTAACAGCCGTTGCCGGGCATGTGTATGAATGAGGAGAAAACGACATATAGCGGGGAATAAAGAGTCAGAGAGAAAGAGAGAAAAATCATTGAAAACCCAATTCAATATGATCGTAATACATTCAGTTTACTAACATTTAAAAAAATATAAAGCATCAATAAAATTGTTTTGTATGTATAAACGACAAACATCGTCGATCACAATGTATGACAAGATCAAACAAAACACTACCCCTTAAGGATGATGTAATAAATTTATTTATTCCCATAATAATAATTAAACATTTTAAATTAGATTTGTAATGCAATGAGAAAACTAATTTAATTGAATAACCATTAATGAAGTATGTTAAAAATACCTTGAGCATTAATTATTAATTTAAGTTAATTTGGTTTTATATGAATATTTCTAGATAATTTCAGAAGTTTTTTCATAGTTTATAATTTTTTTTTAAAAAAGTATACGGAAATAAGAAAAATTTATTCATGAAAAAATATGAATATTAATTTAGCTATTATACTATAAAATAAGCGTTTCGTACTACATAAATTAATATTCTCTTTATTGATTTAAAATATACTCATTAAAAGTTATGTTGGTCAGATATTTTTAAATTTTGTTATGAACAATCAGATAATTGCAAATATCATGATAAATTTTAATTATTCTTGGGATAAAATACGACTAAATTATACCATTATTTTGTATAAAAAGTCTAAACAGCCTTAATAATAGTTAGGTTATTTAAAAATTTTATTTTTATGAGTAATGTAGAAGAATCATAGTTTTATTAATATTGTTATTAGTATTAGACGCAATACATATATTTTATTCATAATTATTATATTATTGCTTAATACATCAATAATAATGACATTTGTAAATAAATCTGGGTATCAAGAAAAACAGTTTTCTGTCATGTTATAAATCTAAACTGAATTTTAGTCATTACACAATTAATTGTTCGTCAAAATTTATATACATATATAGAGTACTAAATTGAATGTTTAGTCCATTCAACATAACCTAACCAGCGTTTGTTGTTCATAAAATTATACAATATTATGTTCCAAACTGTTATTGTGTGTTAATATGTAGTTTGATTACATATGAACACAAGTGTTTTATTTTCATTATTTGTACTATCATTTTGGTTTTTTACGTATGTTATGCGAAACGTAAATTTAATATTTGCCTTTCTTCGTCTCCCTATTGAGAAAACATTCGGAGAGAAAGTATCCCACTTCACTCCATCTCAGACAAAACCTAGACAAGTACTGAAGTACAGTACTGATTAATCGCATTTCTTGACACTGCCTCTGAAACAAGGGCGTGGAAAAAACTCACGGTGGTGTAAATGGTTGCTCGAGAATCATTCTAAACAAGAGTATAAACCAGTAATAATAATTTGAAACACTACGTATTACGAACATAGGCGTCATTACGGGGCAGCGAGGGGTAGCAATTACTACCCTACCATTTTTATTGAGATAGCATATTAATAGCTATGGGACCCCACGAGAAATATATGTAACATGTTATTGTTTTTTTCAGAAATTAATCAAATATAATCTTAATCTATATATATATATATATATATAAAATCAAAATAACACTTAGTCACTGATCGATGATTGTTGTATTTTTATCAACTCTTATGAACAATTCACTAGGACCTATCCTTCTAAGGACACGTGTTCTAGAGGTCAATTATATAAATTATGCTCAATATTTCATAATATATTATTGTGTATTATGTATTTAACGTACAAAGTGTTAAATGTTGACTGGTTTTATTTTTTTTTAGAATTCACACAGTTAATGTGGGAGGGGGTGGGAGTTGGCTAAAGCTCATTAGCACTCCTTCCTCTGGGTTGCCAATGTTGCAACCCTAAGGTTTTATTCCAAATGACGCCCCTGATTACGAATATCATCGTTTCGGGTATATGTGGTGTTTTTAACCTCAACTATATACATGATCGATAACTAAACATACCAATTAACCTCTCGTCTAAATATTCTTACTAGATAGATTAACCTATTTGGTTGATAAAATCCTGTGGTATAGGGGTTCACATTGTACTATACAAAAAAAATGCATTCAGGTATTCGAATCCTCTTATCTATGACGTATTCGTGTATTACTAATTTGCAATGATAACAAATCACAAAATATGTAATTTTAATATTAATATAAGGTAGGTACACAAGAATAATCTCTACAAATATCAAAAAGAAAAAAAAAACCTATACTTACCTATATTTATATAGTTATATTCAGGTATGGATCTATACATGAAAAAATAGGGGAAGACTGTACGAAAAAATGTACTTCGATTACATAAAATCATAGGAATTAAGTTTAAGTTTTTAAAATTAATAAATTAATAATCATACAAGCATAATATAAAATAATAATAAAATCTTTACTAACAAAATTACTCTTTATTGCTTACAGTATACAATAATATAGGCAAAATATTTAGGGGTTGAAAAAAAGATCACAATTTATTAGCAAATTAATAAGACCAATCCTCAGTTTTTGTCCTTCTAGGTTAGAAATATTGAAGACTACATAAATAATCATGATTATCAATCATATTAAAATGTCAATAAGCAATATTATATGTTATTTGTATAGCATTGCAACACTTTAAAAGTAAGGTTATGTTTGAAATATTTTAAGAACCTAAGATCTAAGGAGGACTTCAACCTCCACTGCCTTTGTACCTGGTTATATATTATTGTAATATATAAATATGAAATATTTGTAAAAAGTTTTAAGTTAAAATATATATATACCGCTTAAAAATTGCATACCATATGTACACACCTATGATCGCTAAAAAAAAAAATTAAAATAAGGTAATTATCTATATAGGAACATTTAGTCATAATAGAGGTATCGAATGTAAAACTAGAAAACCTGAAAATTGAACTATTTTGAACAGTAAATCATTGAATATAATATGATATACAAACAGTGACGGCGCGAGGGGTATGCAGAAAGTGTAATCAAACTTTTGGATCGGCTCTTGGGCCTCGCACTCCTATTTTATAGCTTATTCAAATCCGGGGCCTGGCGTTCGTAATTTGCACAGGGCCTCGCGAATCATAACACCGGCACTGCATACAAATATGATTAATGTAAATACTGAAATGAAATATTCTTCTAATGACATATTATTTTAACAATTTAAATGTGTATACATGTATGGTAATATATCGCTAGATATATTACCATACATATAGCTGTGGCTGTAGTATTTCTTTATTTTTTATTTTCAAATCAAAGACATTCGGTATTATGGCTTTGGACGTGCCAAACCTTGATCGTGTAACATCAGTATATAACGAAATCGGACATCCGATAATACCGAATAAGAGTCTATATAATATCATAATATGTGATATATCTATGTACGGTTTGATTATGTGTGGGATTTGGTGAGGCCAAACAACGCTTGGCTTTAGACGGATCACGTATAAAGAACGTTTTCGATATGACCTCATCAATTTTATTCACATTCGTTTTCGTTTCCGAAACCGTTCGAATAATGGAAAAAAAACACTATTATATTGGATTACCAATAGAAAAGTCGTCCATTCGCAGTCTTATTCACTGATCAATTTTGCCCGGTTTACACGTTATTTCGACTACACATGAACCGTAGAGTTGAGTTAAAATTTTCCTATACGAATAATGAAAACTGATTATTTTTGTTGATGTTGTGAATAATTCAGACGCATTTATTTTACCAAGTTTACCTTCATTAATATTGCTTCTCACACTTTTTTTGTAATAATAGAAAAACTGTTTTGGAAGATGGAAAAAATCTTAGAATTGTATAATCATATTTTTGCCTCAATATTAAAATATTAAGACACAACGACCCTGAATATATATATACGTTTAAAAAAAATCTATAAAACGGAAGTGCAAGGGACCGAACAAAATCTCTAGTACAGTTTTCCATTTTATTCGGACGGTATGAAATCCTACTTAAGTTTTTGGACGAACAATTTATTTCCGTCCGAGATAGAATTTTTCACGAATCCATTTTAAACTATATTATACTGAATACCTTTATTAAAGCAACCATATATATTCTCAGTGGATTTATTTTACAAATTACCATCAGTTATTCTTCTTTATTATTTTTTTTTTTTTTTTGAACACAATAAAATCATCACCATAATAGACAGTAATTTTAATTCAACGTTTACATAATTTTAAAATGTATTATGTGTCCATTCCATCAATATAAGAAGAATAAAATATTATATCGATTCAGCATTTTATCAAATTTATTAAATCTCATGTTCAAAATAACAATTTTGTTACTTAATTATTTTTAATTCAATGATTGTTAAAAACTATAATAAATAGTCCCCACAAAAAAAAAATGAATGCTGTCTCTGAAATGGAAAGAAAAAACTGGCAAAGATAGAACAACCTTCCAAGCCAATTACTTGCTCTCTATATATACGATATTTTGTGCGTGCGTGTATTTTTATCCTTCATCAAGTTTTTTTTCCTTTATGTGGTTACAATTTTTCTACTCGTTGGTAGACAAAGCTCAGTGGACCGAATGCATTTTCAACGGTGTTATTATTATTATCTGTTATTCCGGTTGGTACATTAGTATCTTAAACATTCAGGTCGTTTCTTATCCACTCGGCAAGATGTGCAGGCTAAATTAATTTTTTTTATTTACATTTTTTTCTCCCATTTACTCTTGATAACAGTTGGTTATAAAAAATAATAATAAAATCATAAAGTCATATCCAAGATAAAGGTTTGTTTCTATTGCAAAACCTTTAAGTCCTTTTACTATACCATTTTAAGACATAGTTTAGTATATTATTTTGTATGTAAACTATATAATATTAAAAAAACAAACGTTTTATATTTATTTTATTTTGTGTTCTTCAGGTTGTTGGTGTTCAGAAGACGAGGAGCGTCTGGTTAGAGATCTTTTTAGGGGCTACAATAAACTGATCAGGCCAGTACAGAACATGACCGAAAAAGTCAATGTACAATTCGGTTTGGCGTTTGTGCAACTTATCAACGTGGTATGTTACATCGTCTATTTTAATATTAAAATGTTCGATTTGAAAAAAAATATTAAATAATCGATATAATTAGATATAATTATTTACAATTAAGTCAATAACGAATAATTTATTCATAGATTTTGAATGAAACTTTATGTGTTCATTAAAAAAAAAAAAGTTCAAAATATATGTGACTCTGCAGTTAATACTAATTAAATTAAATAATCGTAATTATAATATAAATGTTATTTATAATTGGATAGTTTAAATATTGATCATTAATAATATAAATAATAAATGATTGTTTTTTATCTGTTTCAGAACGAAAAGAGCCAAATCATGAAATCTAACGTTTGGTTGAGACTTGTAAGTATAAAGATATAAAATATAAGTTAATTATAATAATATTTTTTTTATTAATTATAATATAATAAGACAATAAAAAAAATAAATAAAAAAAATAATTTAAAAAATTAATTTTTCTTTTGACGTATTACACTTCTTACATGTCTACCACACCCGTACAAATAACTAATACCCTTAAAAGGATACTTCAACAGAAAATCTACTCAGTGGTTTCACGCTATTAATATTTTCCCAACTTCAGACCGTTCGTTTATTATTTTCTTCAATTAATCAACGTAATTGGCATGGTCTCATTTCAATATCCATTCTTTTTTTCTTTGCGGATATTTTTGAAAATGTTTACGCCATTATAATTTATAAATTGGCTAGGCATCTTTTACGAAGATTTCTCTTTACAGAAAATATAATTTTTCGTTTAAATTAATAAAGCAAATTAAATTACAAGAATGATACCATCTAAATAACTATTTTTTCAACATTTTCAATGACTTATCTCACTTTAAAAACCATATAAGCATTTTGTATTACAAAAGTGAATTATAATATTTAGTGATCAAGTTCTAAAATTCGATTTAAATTGATTAACTTTCAACATTTATTAATTTTTATTAACTATAAACAATTTATAGTACAAAATTAAAAAAGCTTCAAGTTTACATTATAATATTATGAATCATTACATACCTTTCTATAAACTTAAACATTCATTATTGATAAATATAATATTATATTAAGAAATACCGATTTTTAATACCTCCCATAAAAATAAATACTCTATCAGAGTTAGCCAATGATCAAACATAATCCGTCATTGTATTGATTGCGTTTCGAAACGCTATTTCATTAAAGTTATTAATTGAAATATACATTTTTCTATGTACTTATAGTTTAGCTGATTTTACAAACTTAATCATGATTTTTATCTTAACTGTCACATTTCTATTATCGTTTTCCAAATTAGTTTTCCAAGAAAAAATAATATGTTCTCGGCCAATATATCTAACTAAATATACCAACTAAGTATTATCAATATAACTAAAAATGTTTAGCAATTATTATAAAAAATAATGAAAAAATTATAACTATAATATATAATAGCTCTTTTTGTGCATCTATTGTTATAGGTATGGAGGGACTATCAATTACAATGGGACGAGGCAGACTACGGTGGTATACAGGTGCTCAGGTTACCACCGGACAAAGTGTGGAAGCCGGATATAGTGTTGTTCAACAAGTGAGTAAAAGTTATTTCGATGTGTATATACGTAACGGGTATGAACGGATTACAATGGCAATTAAACGGATTAATTTGTATCTAAAAGTTTCAAAACAAATGGTGTACACCGGCATGAGAGAACGCCGGCAAGTTTTGTGTTTTGACTACTAAACTCTAGTTTAAAACCAATTATGTGATCATAATGTAGAATGGAGTTGGGTGAGGAGGAAAAAAAATAAGAAATTATTAAGACACATCGAAAATAATAATAATAATTATAGTTACAAAGACTTGGTTAAATTTGTTTGCGTGCAAAGCGTACATTATGTATTCAAGATCGTAAAGAAGTTATCCGTTTTTCTTTGCAGCGCTGATGGAAATTACGAAGTTCGTTACAAATCGAACGTGCTCATCCGACCAAATGGAGAACTTCTATGGATCCCACCAGCAATTTACCAGGTACGTATCGATAACTTTGTCAATGTCATATAGAATTTCTACTATTTCTGACCTCTTCAAATATTTATTGTATTTCCCCAGTAACTATTTAATAATGAATCATGCAAATGGTCGACAAAGGTGACGTGCAAATAATTTTACCCTCTCACTGAAAATGTTCTCGCAGTTCTCTGCTAAGGTGTGGCGTGACCATTAATATTTTTGAACAATACTAAGCTAAATCATACGAAAACAGATGTCATTATTGGGCCTACATATGACTTAATACTAACGCGATTATGACATAATATTATAAGATTTAATAGTAAAATTGGTTTAATATTTGCTACGAAAATCAGTGCGGGTACAACATTGAATAATAACTACTGCGGAGACTGACCGCATACGTTCGTAGTGAACAGGCAGTCGCAGTGACACCCTTCGCCTGTCAAAATAAATACACCATTATACATGTTACATACTGACATATTTTTTTTGATAAAAGGGTTAATGTGTTAGTTTTGTTTCCCATTATTTTAACACTTTATTCTTAAATATAATATGATCTTTTTCCATCCTGCCTTAGACTGAGTACAATGATATCGCCTTACAGAAGCGATTTGTAATATCATTGATGTGATTTTATGTTCAAACATGTACCCGTTATTCTGCAATATCATACGAGTTTACAGATGTGTATGCTATGATAAACCTATACAATAATATTCAGGAAGTATAAGAATACTTTCGTATGATAATAATAATAACGTGGATGGTAAATTATATATTAGTTTAATGATTCTACGAATAAACCATAGTCGGATAAAAATTATACCCAATAACAATTGTGTCTAAATTTGATAAACGTATTAATTTTTTTATAATTAATAATTTAAAAACATAAATTTTCCAGAAAAAAAAAATAAAACTCATTTTATTTTATATCTAATAATTGTCTCTATTGAGTGTTTTCTAACTTAGAGTAATTGCTTAGAATTCAACATTTATTTAGATTTTGTTAAAGACAATTATCTTTCTTATTAATAAATATACTGATTACAACATTTATTTTATTATATGCAACAATATTATTGGACATTATTTTAATAGGACCAATAATACAAATATTATGAAATACTATTAATATCTATGAACATTATTTTGTATTTATATATACATCCGTTAACTATTATTTACTTCCAAATTATAACTCCAAATGCATACAATGTAATAACACTTAAAATTAATTTTGGAATGTATGAAAGGCTCTTTTATTCATTAATGAACAACTTCCTAACCCTTTAATGAACACTTAATGTCATGAAAATAATATAAATGTGATAGAACAAAACACATACACTAACATAAAAGGTTTATAATGGCTGTTTGTAAATACTCTAACACAAACTACTTAAATTCGCTTCCTTTTTTTATGTAGTTTAAACTCAACTGTTATTCAATAATATGAGTGTTATTCATATTTTGATATATATATATATATGTCAAAATATTTAATAACTAATAGTTTATTATAATTTAATGTATTACGTGTAAATTATACATTATATATATTTTACCAATTTATAAGATGCAATAAATACCCTTATTCAATATGAAATATACATTAGATTATGTAAAATATACCTAATACCTAAATTATTCGACCTCAGTATATAATTTAGTTTTTCATAGTTATTTATTACTCTATATTATTACCATTTATATTCTTTAGTAATTGATATTATTTTATTGTTTATATTTTTGGGTTGAACAAAGATATAAAAATGTATAAAATATAAATAAATATTTCTATGGTTTTCTGAAAAAATTCGAAAAAAAAATGAAAACGAGTCACAATCGACTTAAACTTAAAAAAAAAAAAACCGACCCATTGGCCACCCCTGCTATAAAGAATTAATTAATATACGCAGTTATATCTAACTATTTTTCTTAGGCAGACATTATTAAGATACGCAGTTTTGTTATAAAAATCATCTTATTTCCGCAAATCATTCGTATAAATTATTCATACAAAAATGTCGAACGAGCTGATAATATCAAAATTATAATTTGTTAACTGTTTCAATTTGCAATGTATAACAATTACATAAACCTTATCCTCACTATACATTAATAATGCAATAATCAATCTAATCAATAGTCAAGCTAAATAGTGTAAACATTTGATTAAAACTCGCGTAACATACAAACCGTGTAAAAATATTTCAATCAAATAAAGTTTGAAGTATGATCTTTGAAAAAAAATCGTTTGTTGATTGATGAAAATATTAGATAAAATGAAAATCTAAGTACAAAATTGAATAAATGGCTTTTGTTTTGTTATTTTACTATTAATTATTAAAGGCTGAAATTAAAACGGAAAATTATTTTAAAAGGAACTAGACATAGTTTATAACAAAATTCACAAAATATATCATGTATAATATTTAATAATAGTTATTAGTAATTTTATAATTTTCTAGTTACATTTTTAACGAATTAAGTATAAGATAAACAATAATACTTTTCTTCTCGAGAAAAAATACTTTTTAATAAGCACAGAGGAATCTGGATCTCATACATTTGAATACATTTCAATGTTTTCCAAAGATATTATGTATATTATATACCTCATACATATAATTAAAAATTATCTATATATGTATAATTTATTTTGTGTTCCAATTCTATGCAGATACTATGAATAATAAGAGCGCTTTTAGACGAGATACTTAGTGGTCGGCCACTAGAATCGCTACAGGGACACAAAAAGTGTCTCTGTGAGAGTGCCTTTCACACGAGAAACTTTTCGCACACGAGTATCTGATTCAATAAATAATAAAATGCAAGTATTGGTATAAATTATTTAATTTTCTTTCGATCATGGAAATAAAAAAACCTATTTTACTTTATTGTTTGATTAAAAAAATAAAAAAACATAGAAGGCTCCATTGGGTGTACTCAATTGTTAGGACTAGATTAGAAAAGGATGATTTTCATACGCAATTTCCCGAACTGCTTAAATACGAGTCTACATTTTTTAACTACATATAATCATATCCTTCCATAAAAACTCGGCAAATATCATTCCATATTAATTATTTTATTTATATAATCGAAGTGCGATGTATCCCATAATGAAAGATGACATTCGATTTCAATAATTAATTTGTCATATTCGAAATTGACGAAACTCATAATTTTATTTTTTTTTATTTCGGTTACTAAATTAAAATAATAAAATAAATATTAGATATTATTAAGATTAACAATAATAAGAGCGTTAGTGTTCGGATACACGTGTCTCTCTGATCGTACTCATTTAAGTTCACACATTATTGGTAGATCGAATACAAGACACAGTGTCTAGCCACTAGAGGAGACGGAACACACAAATTCGGTGACATACTCCATGTCTGTGTCTCGCTATGTATGTACGCGTATATTTATAGCAATATTATCTTAGTCACGTGATTCTTTTCAGACACAATTAGCCAGCCACAAAGTATTACTCGTGCGAAAGCAGCATAACTATCATTGTATCATACACACTTCAAAAACATTTATTTTAAAATACTTGAACCGTTCGTTGAAATGTACGTACCATGAAGTAATATTGTAACATTAATCTAAAACGATACAACTACATGTATGTATAATAGGTATACAACAAGTATTAGTAAAATAATCTTCTTCGAATTAATCCGTCGTAGTTTTCGAAGTTCTTGACTAAATTGTTTTCTAACACCACTAGCGCTGAAATTAATCAAGCCATCATTCGGATGGATACCTAATATGAACGAACAGTCGGCCAAGACGGACTGGGAAACTGTTTGGGCGCATGATTAAAAACAAGACGGTTCTCCCGGATACGATTATCGACACCTCCGTCTTGTATAAATATATATATATATATATATTATATGCACCTGCCACGATGAGAGAAAACAAGGGTGGAAACGGATTTATCTTTTTTCCACCGTCGAGTACCTCAACGGGAAATTGAATTTGAACCCACTATATTAACATCTCTCGATCGAGTTTGCCGTCGCATCTCGCTGAATCTAACTGTGGCATTCAATCGACTTAATTCGAAACAAATACTTCCGAAATCGATATTTATTGGAAATTAATTTTATACAAACATTGATTGTACCCATTAGTGTAATATAAAAAGCAACACACTAGTATTATATATAATATAATATTTTTGTTAATCTTTTCATATAATTCCAACTTTCGCAAATTAAAAATCAAAAATACTATCGTGAAATGTAAATCATTGTAATAATTTATAATTGAAAAAAATATAAATTATGTAATTTTATTTTAACTAAAAAATTATAATTATATTATTTTTTTCTAAAACGAACAATTTCTATATTTTTTTTTTTTTATTGATGAAGCCACAACTACAATGGTTATTGGCTTTTTAATCTAAAGTTATATTTACATATTGAAGGGAGGTACAACTAAATACATAATATTAATTCTATATTAATTTAATACTTAGTTGTATGTTTATAATCCACTATACTTTTATTTCACGTATAAAACTATAATAAATTAAAAAAAAAAAAAAAAAAAAAAAACAATCATACTGAAGTCTAAAACATACATAGGTATATTTTTTAAAATCAAACTCCAAAATATCAACAAACGTGACGTTGATTAATTCTTGATTTTATTTATTTTTGTGAAATTCAGATTAAAAACATTTCTTATGCTGAAAAAATCAAGTTTGTTTAAGCATGTGTATGGCCTTACCTTAAGTATTTGTAATATAATAAATTAATATTTTCTTAATGAATGCCACATAATAAAATAAAAAATAAAAAAACAAATCATCCTTTTTAGAGAAATATAACATTAATATATGAGGATAAAGCATTCGTTCTATTTATGACTTTTATTAACCATTCAATTAGTACCTTCAGTGGTTATAATGTAATATTTTATTCTATTTTTAATTTCAATAGATGAAATTAATATAAAAAAAATTATCTTAATGCATAATGTAACTAAGATATTCCTTAAGTATATTATGAGTATATAATGTATATTTTGAATGAAATAAAGAATGTGTTAGTTTTGAAATGTCCATGTTTTTATTTTATTTTGCATGACCTGTGTTTTTAGTAACCGCGAAGTACCTACTTATTTCAAAAGTTTCATTAGACCTATTATAATTACACAAAAGTATAATTATTTCGACAAAAGTGTGCGCAACTTTGATTATACAAAATGTTTGTGAAGAGAATTAAAAAAAAAATATTTTTCTCAATTAAAGCAGCGGAAAATTCCATTTCATACCGTTTGATAATTATTTTGAAAATACTTAACCTAATTGTATGAATCTTAAAATCTTATAATTTTATAAATCATAATTTTTAATACTATAAGCATAATATATTCATATTGTATTTATATTTTAATATTATTACTAATAATGTTTTATTTATTAAATTATCAAATTATTTATAATTATGCAAAAAAAAATATTATTTATTTTAATAATAAACGGATGTAGAATAATTTTATTTTGTTCTTGATTTATGAGTAAAAGTGAGAAATATTTAGCCTTAACAATGAGATGTACATTAAAATTGTCATATAATTTTTTCAATAGTTTATGAATTGGATACATACCGTACCTACCTACTTTAAACAGAACTTTTTCTTTGTTTAGCAATACGAAAGAAAATCTGATGAAATAATTCCATTTAATATAAAATAATGTTTTTTTATACTATTTTATTCAATATATTTTTATGATTACAATCATTTATTATTTTTAAAAATGTACAGATATCCACATTGGTGTCCAATCCAACATCTGTAACCTGATGACTTTTTTCAATCCCTATTTTTTTATTAATAAAATTTGTTGGATTTCTTCAATAGCTTCTTTTTATCAGTTTATCAGTACATTTTTATTTATTTCAAATTAATTAATAAAAATATAAAATCGATCAATGTAAATGGGAAATAGTACCATAAAGGTTAAACATAATTAATGATTCATTTTAAATTCGTGATACCTATGGTATGCATATATTTTTGATAAAACATTTTTTATGTTTAAATGTCATTTTATACAATAGTTAAGATTATAAAGCACATTTTTTTTAAATATTAAAAACTGTATTGGATATTGAAATAAAAATTGTAATCTGTCAATATATACCAATAATATGATTTATCTCAATATGACAATCAGTATAATAACTTTTTAAATGTTAACGAATCAACTAATTTTAAAGGTATGGCTAAAAAATACTCGTATTAATAAATTACCACCAATACTCAGAACATTGAAAATCATATATTTTTCTGGCTCATACACACATCAACAATATCAATAACCAAGAAATAATTAGCTAATTAATAAATAAAAATCCGTTTTATTACTAAGGTATCCAAAAATAATTTTGAAACAATTGCATAGGTTGACTTCACAATTGTAATAATCTTAAAATTAATAACTGATCAGATTACAATCCTAATATTGTTGTACATATAAAATTTAAAAATTGTTAGATGAATCTATACATTTTTCATAAGGTTTCTTGTTCATATAGATATATTATTTTTTTGACCTCACTTTTAGCATCTAAAAGTCTATTTTATAAGAATATATTGATAATTACCTAATCTTATAAATCTATATACCAGATTTAGCTCCTCATGATTATTATTTATCCAAAAAATGAATGAAAATTATAACGAATATATTTAACATACTAAAATTCTTAAATATGGTGAAAAATTCGTCAAGCTCATTAAATAAATACTACAAATTTGATTAGAAATATTAAAAATATGAAATAAATAATAAAAGAGTATTTTATATACATAAAGGATGTTTTCATTATTATTAACTTATCAAACTCGTCACTCAATACATCTACATATTTTTCCTAGTATTGTATTTTTATCTAACAGTGAAAATCACAACATTTTCTAGAATTATACTTATTGATTCGATTTATATTTTTGATTAGGTTTTACCAATTACAACAAGATTGAGAAATCTATATCATAGTTTTTAATTCGATAATCTAACAATGAAGGCGTTTCTTTCTCACAAATACTACACTTTTTTTTCTCTTTCTGTATTTTAATTTGGTTCCGTTACTCTTACATTCAAATCTGATATTTCTACTACAGCTAAAAATTATCATTCTATTGCCATTATTTTATATATTTTTTTACGTATTTTGTTCTCACCTCACTCAAGTTAAAATTAACTATGTTATTGACGAACGAAGTAATTTTCGTCTCAACCACTCTTCTGCGGTTGATAATCATATTGTACTCTTGCATAATTTGATACTTACGTTCAAATTATTTATACCTACTTTCGACCGTGGTAATTATATTAATTTCATATAGGTGTTGATTGAAATTAAATTTAATGAACTTCCAAACTTTTAATTTAGCTCCAATTTAGTAAATAGGAAACAATGGATTTAACGCCGTTAAGTTTTATGGTCACATGTCCAATGACATTATCCCCTCTATGGCATTTCCCAAGGTACTTTTTGTCTACCTTATTATTCTTACTCTTCGTAAATTCATTAAGTTTTGTCCTAAAGTATTCTAAGTATCTCGTATTCTCTAATAAAATTAAGTTAATATATTAGTTTTGTCGTACTAATTTTTTCTCTAGCCGTTCGATCTCTTCTCGCTTACCTTCAAGGATAAATTGTCAGTTTAAGTTAGTAAATTAAACTTGCTTTCAATACTAAAAAATTACATGTTGTTTTACATTGACTTCGTACTTTCTATTTTTGAATTTAGCTTTAAATATACGCGGATCCAATTCCTAACTCTGAAATTATTTATTCTCATTTACTCAAGATTCTCAGATTTATCATACTAATATCGTATAAATTAAATCTTCGTACTTCTTACAAAAGCTTAATATGTAGTGATCTTTAATCCAATCTACTTTTTTAACATGGATTGATTCTCGGAAATCCATTTTCTCAACTGATTAAGCAAGAATTGGAAGAATTTAACCTAAACTCCTCTTTAAATTTCTTTTTCTTTATTCTTTACATCAGCGGTTCCCAACCCATGGGCCGCGAGCAGCATGGTACTGGGCCGCGAACCATAGGTATAATATTAAATATTTTGTATATTTAAAATAATATTATTATATATTTTTTGTTATAATTCTGATCATAATAATATTTAATCAATTTTAACTATAGTGTATACTGTATACTGTATATTAAATGTACATTTAACGATACGATATCGAATGTTTGAAATTAGTTTTATCTTATATTATCGTGCATGGCGTGCGGGTTGCGATAAACTTAATAGGTATTTCGATTTCGTAAATTGGTAAACTAGTTATTTGTGGCAGTAACAGTGGTTGTGTGTTTATGCGTCGTTGTGTCTGTTGTGAGTTACAACATAGTATTACATAGTGTCATAGTACATATTATTAATTACGCTACACATAAATATGGATACTTGGTTTCAAACTGGGTCTTGTCGTAAGACGAAGCTGTCAAATGATGAAGGAACTAGTAGTAGTGGAACTAGTAGTGAGATTGTTGATGTGTCAAGTTTGAATATAAGAAAGAAAACTAAAATACATTTTCGTAAGTATAACCCTGACTTTTTAAAAATCGGGTTTGTATTTTTTGGTACTGAGGAGGAGCCTATGTCGCAGTGTGTGATTTGTTTCGAAACGCTATCCAACGAATGTATGAAATTTTCAAACTTGAAAAGCATCTATCAACTAAACATCCTGAATGTGTAGGAAAATCTCTCGATTTTTTTCAAATCAAGAAAAAAAATCTTTCTATGACTAAATCAGTTATGGAAAAATCTTCAAAACAAAACATAACAAGTACCCAAGTTTCTTATGAGCTTTCATTGTTAATCTCAAAGAAGGGGTCAGCTCACACCGTGGGAGAAGAACTTATTATTCCCGCAGCGAAAATAATAAGTAATGTTTTGTTTGATGAAAAATGTACCAAAAAAATTAATGAAATTCCGTTATCGAATACGACTGTGAAAAGAAGAATTGATGAAATGTCGGAAAATGTGAAAATAGCTATTATTACTGTTTTAAAACAAAGTGAATATTTTTCGCTGCAACTGGATGAAAGCACAGACGTTGCTGGCGGAGCTAATTTATTAGCTTTTGTTCGTTTTGAGTTGAATGGTAATATTGAAGAAGAAATGCTGTTTTGTCAGTCTTTGTCGACAAAAACAACTGGCGGAGAGGTTTTTAAATCTGTTGATAGCTTTATAAAAGAAAACGAAGTAGATTGGTCAAAGTGTGTAGGTTTGACAACTGATGGAGCACGTGCTATATCTGGAACTCATACTGGATTAATTGCCAGAGTTAGATCAGTTGCTCCTTTAGTTCAATGGACACATTGTAGCATACATAGAGAGTCTCTTGCAGTTAAAGGTTTGGACGAGTGTCTCAAAAAAACTCTTGATGGTGTAGTTAAAATCATCAACTTTATTAAAGCAAGGCCTAAAAACTCCAGACTGGTGTTTTGTGTGATGAAATGGGAAGCGAACACAAACGGCTTCTACTTCACTGTGAAGTTCGTTGGCTGTCAAGAGGTAAAGTGTTATCATGATTGTTTGAGCTCCGTGATGAACTTAGAGTTTTCTTTATGGAAGGGGACTATGATGGAAAACTTGCAAGTTCCTACTTAGAATTGGTGACCGATGAAAACTGGTTGAAACGATTGGCGTATTTGGCGGATATTTTTGGTGCCCTCAACGTTTTTAATTTAACTCTGCAAGGCAAAGACATTCACAAGTTTTTTGTGCAAGACAAAGTTAATGCAATGATAATCAAGCTTCAACGATGGGCTCTAAAAGTAGAACAAGATTCCTTCGATGCATTTCCAGTCTTACATGATTTTCTTGAAAGTAACGAAGTTAAAATTGATAAAGCAACAGCTACAACTATACAAGATCACCTTAAATCTTTAGCTTCCAACCACAGGTTATTTTTAATTATTTATTTTTCTTAATTACAAATTAATATATTTAATAGGCATAATTGAAATCATTTTTACACTGTTTTTAGAAACTACTTCCCTAAAATTGAAGAGGAAATCCAATGGATCAGAAATCCTTTTGAAGAAGATTACTTGAAAAAATTGAAAATATCCGCAAGTGAAGAAGATTCGTTGATTGAAATGTCATGTGATCAGACTTTAAAATCGTACACAATTAGTGTCATTCTGGTTAAATATTCGGAAAGACTATCCAGCAATCGCTAAAATTACACTGAGAAACTTGATGGGTTTTTCGACAACTTATCTATGCGAACGTGCTTTTTCTACTTTAATTTATTTAAAAAAAAAATATAGGAATAAACTGAATGTCGAAAGTGTTTTAAGACTAAAACTAACAAGTTTTAATCCAGATATTGACTTTCTCGTGAAGAACAGGCAATGTCAAAAATCACATTAAATTGTTTATCTTATGATAAAGTTGAATTAAGTTTTTTTTTTAATAAACAATTGTTTTTTTTAAAAATTTTAAATGTTTTATTCCTAATAACTATATATATATGTATATATGTATATAATATATATTATATATTATAATTTTATGAAAACGTATATGTTTGCTATGGCTGGGCCTCAAATATTTTTTTACAAAATTAGTGGTCCGCGAAACTAAAAAGGTTGGGAACCGCTGCTTAACATGGTATTCGAACCATTCAACTAGGTACTCAATTTGAGTACTGAGTACTTGGCGTTTATGCATTCAATCTGGGTTTTTTTTTTTTTTTAAACTAAAATTCTACTTAGCAAAATATTTTATTTATTTATTTATTTCTCAGAAATAAGAATACTGGGCCTCACTGAGACTCTGGTGTTGGAGTCCCGGAGTTTAATTTATAATATAAACATATACATTTTAATATATATTTTCAATAATTTGTGAAATGTAAAAATTAAAATATATAAACATAAAACTATATTACATAGTACCTACTTAAAAGAAACTTAAAACTTAGAATAAAAAAAGATTTTATAAAATATTCTCACTTATGCAATATTATGGTTCAAACAATTATACAATTAAAAATTAAACAATTTTAACAATTTTATATTTTTAATTCAAATTTCATCAAAAAAAAGTAGATTGTATGGTCAAAAGTCAATGTTCAAACTTACAACTATGCCAAGTGTAGACATGAACTAAGGCTAAATCATACTAATAAAACGTACATTTTACATGAATATGGCTGAACTTTGTCGAATAATTAATACCCGTTATTACTGAATGAATTGATAACGTTCGTATTATATGAATTTCCCATAATCCCTATAGTAAACAGGTCAATGTACTTCTAGCAGAATATTATATACTTTGAGTCATGAATATCTCTTTAGTAGAAACATTTTTGCGTATGACTAAAATAAAAATTGTTGGATTATACTTTATAGCGACTTTTATCAAAGAAAATTATTTTTGATAATATTTATCGTTGCGCAGAAAATTAAATAAGTATTTATGTACATTCCAGATGTTGGAAACAAAAATGCAATAGAACAATTTATTGACAATCTCAACCCATTAGATTAGGTTGACCCATAATCGAAACGGCGGTTAAACGCCTCCTCGCAGAGGCTGGACACAACTAATTGTCGTGTAAATCAGTGGTCTTCAACCCATTTTTTGCGACCCCTGTAAATTTTGTTAGCCGTGAAAACCAAATAAAAAAGTTAAAATTGTTTAATGTATGCCATTTTTCATAACTGAATAAATCAAAATTTATATTTTTTAGGTATTTAGGAAAAATTTAATTTTTAATATAAGTAATGATACAAAAAAAAAAAAAATGCAAAATGTTTTGATACACAAAAGAAATGAGTACAATATTTGTCCTGGACTGTTTTCACACGAAATATCTCCACCTCAGCTCAATTTAACACAATGTAGTTTATAGATATATGAAATGTAAATAAGATTTATAAATTAAGTCGGGCTATCACTTAATTTAATTGTTCATTCTTTTTTTCTTTTATTTGAAAATTGAGTCTTCAACAGCAAATACTCATATTATTAGCTATTAGATGTTACATATTTGATGTGTTAGGTGTTAGATTTAAAATTACAATATCACATATGAAATATTATAAAGGTGAAGTTAGATGTAAATTAAGATTTACTAATATAATATTTGTGATACTTAATAATGTGACAATTTTCAGAATTTGTTTTTCGCCAAGTACTTTTACTATGTTGGATGGCATGTTCAGGTCGGTGCGTGTTGAGGTAAATTGTGTAGACCCCTCCACTATGTGTTCAACAGCTAATAATTATTGGTATGTGTTGCATATTGGTTTGAGGAATTTTTCTAATTAAATATGAGTGTTTGAGAAAATAATGTTCATTCTAATTTACAAATTTAAAATAGTATAAAATAGTACGGTTTCGGGTTTATTCGAAAAGATTTTTATGCGATATCATATGACATACATAATATATGTGTGTGTATATATATATAAATACTATTTTTTTAAATTTTTAACAGAAAACTTATCGCGACCCAATCTTAAAGCTTACGCGACCCGAAATTGGGTCGTGACACACCGGTTGAAGACCACTGGTGTATATCATACCCAAATAGCTTTATATTTACCAAAATATTTTCATTCAATTTAATAACAAGTCTCCTTGAGATGTGACAACATGTTCCTAATGATAATTATTCGTTATCACTCGAATACTCGAATACTTCACAAAATTCCGTCAGCCATTTTCGACCAACATATTTATCAGAAATCCCATCGATACAATGTTAAAATATTGACGATCGTAACACTAATTCGGTATGAATACAATAATTAAATCGGAATACTATGTGGAGTTGCAGAGATTTTTTTATTTCTACACGTGACATCTTGTACTTGTACGTGATATGGCGTGCTCGCAGGACGTATAATAAACGAAAAGGATGTGTGCAGAAAAAATCGATTAAACGTATTACAAAAGTATTATGCGTATGTATATATGTGTGTGTATGTAAACACGATTTCATGAAAACGTATAAAAGTGGAGAAAAATTAATAACCGACGAGACGAATGTGTTATGCGAAACTACGCGTCTGGCGTCGGCGGCTGCTTATATGTACGGCTATAATAACGGTGTTATTGGTTTTCGATGGAAGTGTTGAAAGGTTGAGAAGTGTGTGTTTAAAATATATTGTCGATGTCGTTTCTATAAAACGCACCCGATGACGCGTGGTCGTCGTCAATCGTCAGAATCGGAGCCGTTGAATGAAAAATAATAAATTTTTGCACATGTGGTTCGAAAAAAAATTATATGATCAGGGCACATTAATTGTTTTTTTTTTTTTTTTTTTTTTAAAAAAATGGATTTGTAACAACTCGAAAAAAATGTTTGTGATTTTTTTCTTTAACACAATACGCCCAATGTCGAACATTGTAAGGTAAATCGAACATCCAAACCAATTCTTTAGGCAAGGAATCCTCAAACTTTTATAAACACTGTACCCCTTTTTATCAATAAACATTTTTGGGTACCCGTTCTTCGATAAATAAATATAAAAAAATTTAAAAACTTATAAAATTACATTTTTATTTCATTAAAAACTAGTACACAAAATATGTTAAAAACAAAAAGAGCTTACTTTCAAAAAATAATTAGTGAGAAGGGTTAACTTGTTTTTGTTAGCACAGTTGATCAATATTGGGTTCTAATTTAGTTAATTACAATCTTAAATCATCTTCAATATTTAACTTGTTTCTATATTTACTTTTAAACTTGAATAACCTTTTCCACACAAATAATTTAAATTTAAAGGTCTTTTGGCCAGACATGTACCCCTTAAAAATCTCGAGTACCCCCAAGAAGTACGCGTACCACAGTTTGAGAATCACTTCTTTTGGCTATTACTTACTTATGCTTTGGATGCACGATTGTTTTTGTTTCGCGATTCATCTAGATTTAATATCAAGGCACGGTATTAATCTCTATCTTGGTCTCGTTCTAATATAAATCGGTACAACGTGACGAACATTTCACGGTTACAAAGATATTTTTTAAGTAGCTTAGAGTAGAAAAAAATCGTTCTGCCTGTAATTTGACATGTCGTTAGAATAAACTAAAACGATACCACCAGATCGTTTGTGGCCGGTATCAAGACTGCGCGTAGCTGATGGAAAGCACGATCGCACTGAACTGTTTTGTCAGTGGGATTGAGAAACTAATTTGCGTACCTATAGGAACGAATGTTATGTGCGTAAACAGCAGGTATAAATCGAAAACTATAATAATTTTGTTTATTCATATAAAATTAACACACCAACAATATTTACAAAAATAAAAGCCGCTTTTTGAAGTAATGAAAAAAAAATACCTTTTACGTATTTTTATATCTGCGATCCAACGGCGTTTCGTTCAATAAACTATACTTTCTACTGTTTCGGCTGAATTTTCATCACGATCAACAAACTCCATTTAAAATTGAATATCTTTTCTAATGTTGAAATTCTAACTTATTCAACAATATTTAACTCGATTTTGCTCCACCTTGAACAAAACATATCAAATCAAGCATATTAATCATACCTATCGATATCGAAACATTTTTCAATACAAGCCTTTAACAAATATCGTAACTGTTCTATAATACTCGTGGCTTACATATGTTAATGCTATTTGATTTCTCTTATAACACCATATTTGTAACCTTTCATTTTCTCCTCACTCGTATAATCCTAGATCACTTCAGGATTGTAGGCCAAAACTTTTCTTTTAAGTTTCTTTTATGTACGAACAAAAGTTTCTTATCTTCCCTCTTCTATAGTGAACCAGGTTTCTTACGCATACATCAACATTAGTCTGAGATATCTTATGTATATATAGGCATAACTATAGTCCGCGACATGAAAAGTGGCCGATGACCGTCGTGAACCTAGCGGCCGTGTCGCCTAAGTGGTTCATAATGTAATTTAATTAATTGCCGCGTTTTTTTTTTTAATTAACCATTTCAACGCCTATTTATAATTACTTTTTTTTACACCATTATGAATTATTAGATAGAAATCAGGCTCGAAAGGGTTAAACATAATTTACTATAATTACTGTAAAATATTTTATAAATCAATTTGTTTATTCAAACCAAACATAACAAACAAAAATTAAAAAAAAAAAAATACAAATATAATAACTTTTATTATTTAATATACACATCTTATCCGTGATTTTCTTCGTCATTATCTTCTTCGTCAGCACTCCAGTCACTGTCATCTGATAATATGGTCATAATTATTGGTTCCATCATGGCGTCCCTCATTATTTCTTTTTTGTTGTCCTC